GCATGATTTTATTCCGATCAGATAGTGTAATAGTAATGATCTCGCTGAGCGAGGATTTTCCGGCTTCTGGGGACTAAAATTCATCAAGTGTTTGGTCATGACCCTCTTGTTGTAGGACTGTGACATCCAGAATTTCTAGGTGACCTCAAATACAAGCTGATGAGATCTGCAGCTCTTCTGTTGGTGAGATTGGTTTCACTCAGGTTAATGGGACCCTACATTCTGAGTGAGGTGAATTGATCCATGACTCTCATTATTTTCCAGTTTACTTCTTTATGTATCGATGTTCTTCAGAATGGCACATTTTCACATTTATTGCATTGTGGTAGCACCTCAGTCACGTACTTGATGAAAAGAGCTGCCTCTGAACTCTTAGATCTGAAATCATTAGGTTGCTTCAGCCTTCCTGCCTGGGCATCGCCATCTCTGCAGGTGCCTACTTTTTATAACTACCGAAAACCCAGTCTGTTTTGGTTTTGCCGTGGAGAGTGCTAGCAAGATACTGAAGAAAAGACAGGAGAAGCATCTTGGCAGTGTCTTTCAGTCACCTTCTGTTGATTCATGTTAGTTAATCCTTGGTCACTTTACACAGTCTAGCTGTCCCAATTAATGCTCAATCTGAACATACCATAGTCAGAAATAATTAGTGGCTACTGTCATGTATTGAGTTGATAGGTTCATGTCAAAGAAAATTAAGCTAAATTAAGGGCAGCTTTTTAACTGGTGTGCTCTGGAATTAAAGTTTTAAGAAAAGATAAAAAATGTGCCAAAATTTGAGCATGGATATGTAGGAAATTTGAAGTCTTACGTTGCTCACTTTGATTTCTCTCAGATTAGTCCATGTGATGTCTATGCTCTGACATACTGGGCTCTTATTTGTAGGATTTTTACCTGTTTTTCAACCTAAAGAAATACCATCTGTTATACAGGTAATTAATTTGGAAAGTGTTTTTAAATATCCACTTTCCAAAACTGTTTGACAAATTTGAACTTAATTCTGGAAGTAGGTAATCATCAGGTATCGAGGTTCTAGCAACATTTTGAATTTAACTGGAAAATTCGATTGAGGACTTATGATTATTATCATAGTTTTGTTTGCAAACAAAAGCATAAACATAGTTTTGTTTAGATATACGAATGACTTGAGATGCTTTTATAAAAATCTATGTAAAATATCACCGTGTTACTGTCAGATCACCTAGTTCAACATAAAGAATTTATTATTAAATCTTCATATTAAGTATGAAGGCTTAAGTTGAGTTGCAGTCAGTTTTTACTGCATCACTTCTTTAGCATAAGATGTGGAGTAGAACTGTAGCAGAGATTGTAGCTATTGCATCATTTATACTCGTCCGCGTTACTCAGAAGGGTTAGAAATCTTTCTTAGAATTAAAGCTTAGATTTTCTGTAGCTTGATGACACTTGCCTGAGAGGGCCTTATATACACACAGGGAAGGAGGATTTTCAAACTTCTATATAAATATCAAATGGCAAATTTGCCAGGTAGGGAAATTTGGTTTTCTGTTATGAGGAACACAGTACGAGTTGGTATTCAAGATCTTTAATAAATGTGTAGCAGTCACAGTTTAGAAGAAACCCAAGAATGTAAATTAGGAAGATCGTGCTTACTGCATAGGAATAAGGTGAAATTATATTGCAGAGAAATGTAATTTATTAACCACCCCCAGCCCAACTCCCCCAAAACACCCAAGGGGAAAGAAAAACCACACGAAAAACAACAAAACCAGAGCCATTGTTTTCATAATCTGGGTACAAAATTTCCCTAAATTGGAACCAAATTACATGAATTCACTGCTCTCTTCTGACCTTGGCAGGTAGCTTGTTTGCTGCCATATAAGCTTTGTTGCACAATGGTACCGCCAAACTGGAATCTGTAGAGGCTGGGCTTCTAAATACTTCCAAAGATCTGGGTTTGATCTTTGGAAGTGATAGCAAATGGGCTCTGTTAGAAATACTCATCACTTCCACAGCTGTGTAAAGCTGTTCAAATGCCGCAGGGGATGCTGACTAGACCACTTTGCCTGTCTTTTCCTGGTGATGAACAGAAATGTATTATGGTTGCTCAGAACGAAATCAGAGTGAAAATCGGACACTAAATCAAGGTGCACTACTGAGCAGAGAATGAACATGTTCATTCTCTGTTCTGGAAGATGGAGAACAGGAGAATCTTCAGTGTGATTTACAGTCTCTAATCAGATGCTACAGGAAACAATCTTAACTTCCAGGCGCTGTTTTTCAACTCTGTTTTCTATTCCTACTACCTTGTAAAGGATGGTAGTTTTCTTATGTATCCATCGACCCTTTTGTCAGTGGAGCTTCTTAGTTGAATGCCTTGGCTAAAAAAACTTTAGGTACATTCTTCATGTTCTGTAATGGGTGAGTGGATATATTGGCAAGTTGATACAAGTGGCAAAGTTGATTAAAACACTTTCAGGCATGTTTGGTGTTTTGCAAAACTTATGACAGTGGTAGATGTTTATATTAAGATTATCCAAAATTAGGACTTCATAATCAGTCTGTACAGAGGAAGATTATGAGTTAATGTGGAAGGGTTAATAGTGAATGAGAGGCTGAATGATAGTGTTGAAAGTGACAGGGAGCACAAAGAAGCGAGAAAATTGAAGTAGATAGATCAAGAAATGAGGAAATGGCAGGGAGATGACCAGGACCAGGGAGGAGGATGTATACCTGGTGGAATGAAAAGGCAGAGGAAAGTAGAGTGAAGTTAGGGATTTTTCTAACAGTCAAAGAAGTTGAAGTGACTTAACAAACTTATTGCCATGTAATGTGTACATTGACTGTATGACTGAGTAACTTTCTTGTTAGCTGTAAAGGTTGGAATGGTCTTGGACAAGTGTAACAGTGAGGGTGTTTCTCATGTTGCCGATTAACATCAAACCGGAGCTAACAAGATGCATAAAGCTTCTCAGTTTCCATAATTGTCTGTCTTCTGTGGTTTATAATGTCTCTTGCCTAGAAGTTAAATGCTTATTTGAGACTATGTAAGATGTTTTGATAGAATTTAAGGCTACAGAGAACTCTATGAACTTTAATTTATTGTATAGAAAAGCCTCTCAGCAGCATTCATTTAGTAAAAATGGCACACATTTTTTATTTTTAGGAAGATTCATGAGCTTCTCTCTCAAAACTTGATTTCTAGCTGAATACAGTGGACGTTTTAGTGTCTTTTCATTCCATGTGGTTTTGTTTTGCTGAAAACAAGAAGATTTTATTTCTTTTATTAAGAGGAAGTGTTCTGTCTTGATGAGAAAGCGGTATTTTTATGAGTAATTCAGAAGAATTTTTTAGGATTAGTGCTGGGTGTGCCTATTCACTTGGGGATCTGAAATGGAACATTTAAATACTGCAGAAAGACTAGTGGATGGTGGCTGTTACTCTGCATTACACAGCTGAACAGATGCATCAGACAGTTTAAGGAATAGTATAGAAAGGTGTTACGTTTTTCCTGAGTTCAAAATATCGTGTGGGTATGTGTGTTTCTAAATAGGAAAAGGTTTTTAAAAGTTAGTGAAGTTAAAAAAAAAAAAATCGTGTAGAATGCACTGTCTTCCCCCCCCCCGAAAAAGGTAGGTTAACTGCTATTAGAAGCATTTTAGAAATAAAATTCGACAACATCAGAATCTGGCAGAACTTTTTACCTGGAAGATTTATGTCTGGTGCTCCAGTTTGGAGTTCTTCCTGCATTAAAAAAAACGTATCTGCTGCTCTTCTGTGCCATACAATTACATGGCTGCATTTTCTTTGGTTTTAGAAAGGCTGTCTTCAAGTGCACAGGAATAGTTTTATTTAAAAAAAAAAAAATAAGGAAAGTTCTGGGGCAATAATTTTTTTGTGTTTTTCTTGGGGGAGGGTTTATTTGATCAATCTCAGGATAGGATTCATTTAAATATTTTCATAGCTGTTTAGAAATGCTGAAGTTCTCACAGTTTTACTCCCTGCCTGTATCATTAACCTGGGTATGGCTGGGCAGATAGGCCAGGTCTCTTTCTTGCTATCGATTTGCAGTTATTTTACACCCCTAACTGGAGCGCAGGGTCCCAGGAGCGTGCGGGAGGAGGTGTGCGGCTTCCCAGGCGGACGTGGTGGCAGTGGCCTGGGCTCTAAGTTCTCGTCTGTCTGGAAGCGCAGGAGGAGCTGTCGGGTCAGTACGTGCTGCTCCAGGACCTCTTCCTGCTGCGCTCGGAGGGAAAGGCATGCCCGTAGCTTCCTGGGCTTCAGGAAGCGCCAGCTGGAGATCTCTAACGAGATTATTTCAGATATTCTGTGGTGGATGTGATGGATGAAAACTAAAATCAATATTAAAAAAAATTTTTGGGTTTCTAGGCAGTGATGGGTGTAGTTGAGCAAGTGCTAATTCCAGTCAAGTTTTTGGTGCAGGTTCTTAGCTTCCCTGATGTCTGAACCGCACGTAGGTGTTGTGTTTCCGAGGGAAGGTTGAACGCTGCCACAGAACTCTTCCAACAGGCCCTAAGGAGCAGCTTAGAAAGCTCTGTAGTGCTTCGATGTTCTGTACCAAATGTGGCTTTTTTGCAGTGATCTTTACCGTGTTTTATGTTTGCAGGTAATTGAAGCTGATGTTTACATAGCTGCGTAACAAACTGTCATTTAAAATGCTATTTTCGTGTTTTTATCTGTACCAACTTTAAATTTTCTCTATTCTGTTGTGTGCTGTAGCTCCTCAGCTTAAATCACGTGAAAAGCTAGCTAAAAACGTTATTTTACATGAGCTGAACAGTATTTCCTTTAAACTTCTAAACTTATTTGTGAATTCAGAGAACTCGTAACTAAAAAATATTCCAAATCAACTGTTATTGATACTTTTCCTGCAATTATTTTTCATTGAAGGGGAACCTCTACATCTGCTCAGCATGTTGCTTTGAAATCACTAAGTTGTTAGTGTACATAGACATGAGTATACATAAAATACTGCAAAATTTGATTGTCTTTCATAGGGAAGTTTTTACCTTTGAAGACAATGTTAGGACCAAGATACGATGAACAGGTTGCTGAAGAAAATCGCTTTCACCCGAGTATGTTATCCAACTACTTAAAGAGTCTGAAGGTAAAGTTAAATTTTCTAGTAATTGAAACATTACTTTCTTCGTTAATGTTTATTCAGATGTTGCTTTTCAGATTTAAGAAAAAAGTGATTGATGGCTTCCTTTGGGACATCTGTACAGAGAATTTTTTTTTTGTTTACATTTTCAGGTTTTCTCTGTAATTCTTAAATTTCCAAAAGTACTTTCTTACAGGCAAGAATTGTGCAAAATCCTCCAGCTCATTCACAGTGTCAACAGCAAGAATCTCACTCTTTTGTGTTATTACTGTTGCATCTTGGAGAGATGTCATTGCCAAAAATTAAGACAGTCTGAGTTTGTGGTTTTACAAATGACTTTTGCCTATGGATATATTAAGTTGCAATTTTGCTTGTGGGAGTGAAAACATTTGAAAGTGAAAGGAGAATTCATAGAACTCTTCTGTAGTTTCAATGCATAATTTTCTTCTGTTGATGCATAGAATGCTTTATGGTATCTAACCAGTCATACCCAAGTATGGAAGAAAACAATTTATGGAATTTATCCAGTAACCTCTTAATGAAAAAAATGCATAAATCGAAAAAAAAATTTTAGGAGCATGGACTGGGACCGCTGAAGGTGGGTGGATGCCTTTATCATTGGGTTGTGCTTCTGGCTTATTTCTTCGCTGTGTTTTGCCCATTTCTGTCTGTCTACATCAGCTTGCACGTTGTTCTGCACTGTAGCACAGCTTTGACAATATAAATGTGAAACAAGACCTTTCCAGCCTTTTGTGGAGGTCTGTGAAGTGTTGTGCCCCGTCCAGTGCATCTGGAGATGTGGGAAATAGGATTTTGAGCGTCCCAGGCAAAGAAAGGCCTACAACCTAATTCTTTTAATCCGTTTCTTAAACTGTTATGTAGAATGTTAGCACCATTTTTTTTTTGACTGTGTGTTTTAGAAAACTAATCATGCTAGTGACTTTTTTCTATTTTTTTTTCTGTTGATGTAAGTTAAACTAATTCTGAACTCGTTTCACAACATCAGAGCTTAAGAATCAGAAGAATCAGGTGACTAAAATACGTGAATCTTCGTTTTATGAATCTTATTGAGGCTTAAGTATGAAGTAGGTGGTGAGCTAGTCACTGTAGCAGTGATGGAAGTACCTGTGGGCTAATGTGATAAGAAAGTGCGATCAGTGAAGCATGTGTGCCTGTTCTCAGGTGCTTGAACTGGCAGGATGTTTTTTTGTTTGAATTCTTGGATCTATGCATTGAAATTCAACTTGAGTTCCTGTTTTATGCCTTATGTTGTTTTTGACTCTGTCAGGCTTTAATGGGCATACCTAGAAATTTTCAAAACCCACTCTTACTCATGGTTTAAAGTAATCTAAAATTCTGCATATAGTTTGAAGCTATAGAGAACTTCAGAGACTTACTCAGAATTTCTGACTGTTTGCTTGTTAGTGATTTGTCACCAAAGAAGAAATCATGGTGAACCTTCATAGCCATTCCACTAGGCACATCAGTTGCTTGTATTGCAATACGATGAATTTGTAATGTCTTGAGTGACATCAAATGATTAGAATCTGATAATACAATTACTAGCATGAGGATCCCCATTTATATTTTGGTAGTTTTAGGTTACAAGCAGAACAGATAATTTCTCTCAAACTCCCTGTTCCCTTCAAATCTGGTATATTGTCTTGAACTCTGGTATTGTTGCTAAATGTTTGCCATATGATTTTTTTATTGGCTGAGACATGCAGTTACTGGAGGGCTGTGTTTGTAGAACAGCAGTTTACCAACTATCTGGCAGTGAGATCAATGTGCAATTGAGACCTTGAAAAGCACATTTTCCCAAGTCAATAGCAGCTCACTGTGTATGGTTCTTATCATTTTACTGCAGTGTGTTTTACTGCTAATACTCTGCAGAATGAATCGCTTTTGAAACTTGGTTGTTACTTAAGTCCATATAATTTATCTCCCAGATAAGAGACTTCAGCAGAAACTTTTACATCTGGTTTTTGGTAATAGTGAGATATTACTGCTACCACAGATTTTTGAAGCTACCAGTTCAGTGTTTAAGACAACATCTGTCTGGGAGGAACTTTGTCTAACAAGCTTCCTGTGTGATTCCTTTTTCTCATGCAGCTGATTGCTGAAAATCTGAATGTTAGAAACTGATTTGATAAGGGATAGCAGCCCCGTTTTTCTTCTGATTGCCAGTATTTACATAGTATCTTCATGGTCTCATAAAAAAATTTGCAGGGGCAATTTGTGACAGTGTGTATAATTTTATTTTTTTATTTCTTTCTTGAGTCAGTAGGTTAGTACTGTATGTGCTTTATAAAAGGTAGTTTTATTTTGGTTATGAAGAGCTAGGATGTTAGTTAACTCAAAAGAACGTTTGGGCAATTATATGGTCAAGTTACAGTTTTCCTGTTAGGAAAACTAGTTACCAGTTTTCAGCCACATTATTGTTTTTCCGGATAAATTAAATCACTAATTTAACCTATTTTCCTCAAATAAGAAATGCAGGAAAAAAATCCTGGGGCTGGAGAGAATTCAGTGTATTGTAGTACGCTCTCTCCCTCCTGGGGAGGGTGTTTTCAAGTTCCAACATCTGATGAGAAACTTGTGGGGTCATACAAGGGGAACCTAGCTAAGGCCATTTAATTGCACAGCAGCAGAAGAGCACATGCATGAGGCATTAATAGCTGGAGATAGCTGGAATGTGAGAAAGTGAGGAGGAAGGCTTTTATAACCATAGGAGGACATGGAGAGCCTGGCCAAAATAAGTATGAGGAGAATGGGGGTGGTATGAAGATCTTGGTATTATTGTATGTAGAAGATGAGAATGTTAAGCTATCGATGAGCAATTAGAAGCGAGAAAAGTAACTAGTTTCAATTGTGTTTCAATGTGGTATCTATGATTGTAGTGTTGCAACAGTATTTGTAAGAAATGAATGTGTGTTTTAGTGAGAAGTTGCTCAACAATTTTAAATTATTCTTTCTTCCAAAGCTGTGTCGTTCCATGGGCGTGGTGGACTGAAAGATGTGATTCATGCAAAACATTAGCTGAAAAACCATTTCTTTCCAGTGGGTGACCATCTATTTTGGCTTGGATAGATTTTCAAAAGTCAGCTCCTGTTAAGAACTTCCTAGGAGCAAACTTAGGAGAGCATGACTGAGAGGATGACTGTGATGACTGGTGTGATGTGAGAGTTTCAGAGCAGAGTAAAAGCACCTGGGTGATGAACGTATGTGTACTGGAATCTGTTCTAGAGGCGAGAATTACGCTTGGTCAGGACAAGCATAGTGTAACCTGGCTTCAGTGACTGAAGTGTTCCGATTCCTGTGGTGCCAGTGGTTTTTTTGCATGGATTTTTGGAACATCATAATTGTATACTTCAATATGTTACATAATCCCTCTGCTTTTTAAAATTTTCCTTATCCTTTTCTTTTGCCTGGCACTCTCTAAATTGTAGTGTGTTACGTGCAGCTCATCCTGTGAACTGAGAGAGCAAATGTTTATGCTTTCTGTAAAGCAAGGAAACTTCTCTCATGCCTTATACGCTCTATGTGCCATGCATGCTTTATAGCTTTGGCTAAATTGTATCGGGTGCCTGTTTGGTTTACTACTCCGTGAAATGTGTGAGGAACAGTTTCACTTCACAAAGTCTTCACTAGTATATGATTGACACTATTCATAATAATTGCAAAGGAATAGCAGGCCAGAAGTCCTAGAGTCCCGTATGTCAGAATTTCATCTCTAGCAGGCACTTTGCTCTGTTTCATTCTCCTGTTCGAATTAAATGCAACATCCCAAATGCTTGGTGACGCTTTGGGTCTGGAGTACATTCTGGTGTTCTCCTGGGTTCTACATGGCAGTTGGGAAACTGAAATCTGTGAGTGGATATGCTCAAAAGAGCAATTTCTGAAAGTTGAGGGAAAAGCATGGGGGTATTCTTTGAGCTTAAAAGCTTTGATGTAAAATTAATTTTTGTGCTTTCACACAATTTCTCAGTGATAATTCTTCATTGTAGCAGAAGTTTGGGGAAGCTTGGAGGCTTCTGGCTGGAATGTTTGAAGGTGCTGGTATTTGAGAACAGTGGAGTTGGGAATTGGCTTTGAGTTTTCAACTAGAATGGAATGGTGTCTCTTCTACGTTTGGATGGGAGGATGTGAAACTGTTTTGCAAATCACTTGCATTTCTTCTTGTAGCTCTGCTTTAATAGTTTGATATATTAAACAGTGTTAACCTTTTAATATGTCTTCATGGTTTTATTAAAGGTTGTTTTCCTCACGATTCTTTTTCCCTTTCTCCAGAATGTCAGATGATACAGCATTTTTTTGAAGAGTAATTCACGTTTTGGAATGTTTTCTTTCTTACTAGACTGGAGCTGTATGCAAAAACCTTTACTTTAAAATGATGTTTTCATTAAATGTTGATCTTACTTTGAAAATAACTTTTTTCCCCTTAGCTGAGGACATCCTGGAAGCATTATGCTTAACCCCATATTGTACATAAAATAATAGGTTATCAAGCTGATCTATGTAGGAGTTGGGGAGGAGGGTAGTTAGGGGGCCATTTATGTGGCTTGATAGTCTAGAGCTCTCTGATAACACACCTGATTGTCATATCGGTCTTTTTGCCAACTCTAACTGCCCTGTTGATAGGATGAAGAACACAGAGGGAGGTTCTTAGCTTTTTTTGGGGGTATGGCATGTTACTAGAAGATACTCTGTGGCTTCCCTCCACGCGGTCATTGTTTGTGTAGAACGGTAGAAAAATATCTAAATAGTTTTCATAGAACTAGCTCATTTTAGATGTACTTTTCTATCGTAGCATGTTGTCCTGTACAATCACCTAGAACTACTGGTGTGGGACTATGTCATTCTCCTCCGAAGTTATTTTGAGTAGTTTATGTCAGTGGCATAGTGTTATGGACGTACAGTGTGTAGCACCTGGAAATTTTGTGAATTAAGCGGTCTCCCAGATATATGCTAAATGCTGTTGAGGATGGAGGGGGAGGAAGGTAATGATTGAATTAATTGCCTTTTGTATACTTCCTACAAAATTAATCACTGGCTAGTATGCTGTCAGTCTGTATGTTTAGCAGCTCTGTTGACACTAAGTATTTGAAGGTTCAGCTAATGTAACATTGTTTTCAGGTGGAACTCTACTGAAGCAGCTTGTATTTCTGCAAAACACAGTGATAAAAGTAAATAAAGCATTCTGAATGCAGTATAGAAAGTTGAAGTATGTGCTGGAGTTTTACGTATACTGAAGGTGCAGTCTTCTTCTGTGTTTCTGAATGCGTAACATGCTTCAGTGTTAATGTATTTATAAGTGCACTAGTGATATATTTTTAAAAAAGACAAAGCTGTGGAACAAGGGTTTTGCTAAACTACCACTCTTAAAATGCCTTTTAAAAAGACATCTGGTTTCATGGTGAGGATCCTACTTGAAAGCATGACATTCAGCATTTTGACCAAAAGCATTTACTTGCACTTATAAGGCAGGGGACCAGGAATACTTTCAGTACACAGGAGTGTTAGTGAGCTGGGTTTGCACAGTAATACTGGGAGGTTTATGGTTCGTGGAAATTCTGTTTGGATCAAGGATCAGTAGGATGCACTTTGCTGTTGTTCTCTGTGTGTTGGATGCCACCCAGTGGAATTTCTGCTATCCATCTTGCTTTTTAAAAACATAGTAACTACCACAAGGCTGCTTTAAAAGACCTGTTTTACAGCTACAAAAACCAAACACTAAAAATGTAAGTTCAGGCACAAGGGGACACATTAGGGTACAGTGAGAAAGGCAGATGTTAGGATGTACCTGAATTCAGGCTGAGTGGTTGACACTGCCACCTTAATTACTGCCAGCATCTTTGAAGATTTGAAGTTGTTTCACATTTTAACTTTGAATAAAATGAGAATTTAAGGGAATTTTTGTTTAAAACTTGAAAATTATTTCCCTTGTTTTGCACTATAATGTATGGGTAAATTAGATCAGTTATTTTTTCTGAAAGTATACATATATATAATTCTTAGTAGTTAATTTTTCTAATGGTACTTCCACTGTGCCAGTGCTTAATATCGTTCTACTTAAAGCATAAGAGCACGTGATTCCAACTTATTTATCTTTTAGCATGTTACAATAATTATTTACCAGATACTTTCCTGCCGTTAGCAGATCTTTCTTATTTAGAAACATTGGTGGGAACAAACTGAAGTTTTTGAATTCGTGGCTAGTGCTAATTCAGACATCAGCTTTCACAAAGAAGCACAGATGACTAATGGTGGTAAAATATAGATGTTATGAACAAATGCAATATTTAAGAATTTTTAAACTTGCAACTGTAGCTTGCTGTTGCTTTTAATTTGGGTATTATTAGCCTTTTAATATTTATGCACTGATATTTGAACCACTTATATAAGTTTACTTTATTTTCTTATTGGGTTTGGTTTTTTTTTAGGTTAAAATGGGTTTACTGGTAGACTTGACCAACACCACTAGATTCTATGACAGGAATGATATAGAGAAAGAGGGGATTAAATATATAAAGCTCCAGTGTAAAGGGTAAGTTGTCTGCACTTTTTTAATATTTAGCTTTTAATTTTGAAGATCATACTGAAATAATTAATCTTTTTTTTTCCTCTTCCCTTTCGCCCAGCTGTCTCCTAATCTCTGTGTTCCTGTGTTTTTCAGGCATGATGAGTGCCCTACACCTGAGAATACAGAGACATTTATCCGTGTATGTGAACACTTTAGTGATAAGAATCCCTCAGAGCTTATAGGTATGTCTTCTTATATCCGTTATATCCATCATTAGTTTTTACTGTTAATTTATTTCATATTTACTCATAACTGCAGTCTCCTATTCTTAAAAGTCTAAGCAAAGGAATTTCCTCAGTGCAGTGTTTATGCATATGTAGGTTTGATTGCTTTTACTCCAGAAACTAGTATGTTTCTGCATCCATCAGTTTGATTACAGCTGTCTACTTAATGGGGAAAAATATGCAGGCTTAAGAACTGTCCAAATAAACAGCTGGCTTAAAAACAAATGCATGATATTCACATTGTGGTTTTGTAACTTCTGCTGATACAAATGGGGGTTATGTATTGCCTAAGTACAGTTTTGGCATTTGATGGTCTGGCTTACTTGAAGTCATATTTGATAATTGAATGATCAGAGATTCTTTAGCAAATCTCACAAAGCACCTGATTAATTGCTGGGAACAGGTAGTAGATACCAGGCGAAGTTTTTCTTCTGTGGTGTACTGTCTCACAGTGAATATTTGAATGTGCCCAAGGATATATTTTTTTTTTTTTACCCAGAGCCAAGTAAGTTCTCAGTTTAATTAGAGTGGCTTCTAGTTTTAGTTAAAACCATTTTATTCTGAATTCTATTAAGCATATTAGTGTTCAAGTCTATCTGCAAACTGTCAGAGACAAGAAATTACTTTGCAGCTGAGTTTCCAAAGTCAGAATGGGAACAACAGAGCCTCTTTGATGGTTCTGCAACCTTCCTGAATCTGAGTGTCTGTGTGCCTTAGGAGTGCATGGAACAGCTGTGTGTGTAGGTGTCACTGGTAAGAGCTTGGGAAACTAAGCTAGACGAGGTCCTGTGCCACCTGCTCTGGGTGACCCTGCTTTGGCAGGGGGGTTGGACTAGATGATCCGCAGAGGTACCTTCCAACCCCCACCATTCTGTGTTTCTGTATGTTCATACAGTTTAGGATTCATACCGAATCGTAGAATTGTACAATAGTTGAGGTTGTTGGAAGGGACCTGTGGAAATCAGCTAGTCAGTTGCCCTTCCTTAGTGCAGGGCCAGCTAAAGCAGCCGGCTCAGGACTGTGCCCGTTTCAGTTTTGGCCTTCTCCAAGCTTGGAGGCTCCACAGCATCTTCTGGCAACCTCTTCCAGTGTTTGCTCACCCTTACAATACACAGTGGTTTTTTTTTTTTTTTTTTTTTTTTTTGCGTTTAAACGGAATTTAATTTTTTTAAATTTTTACAGATTGCTTTTTTCTTGTCCTGTTACAGGATGCCACTGAGAGTCTTTTTTTTTTTTTGTGTGTGCTTGAAAGATTTAATTTGGGCACATGCTTTTTCACATAGTTTTCTTTTAGGTACTTTCTTATTTCTTTATTTCACATAGAATGCAATTTAAATTTGAGACTTGCGTTTTCTTCTCTGAACTGTAAAGCAAATGTCATGTGGAAAATGAGGAACTGCTAAATGAGAGTGAGTGGGATCAGTCATCAACAATATTACAGAACTTGCACCAGAACTTGAAATATTGTTGATGACTGATCCCACTCACTCTCATTTAGCAGTTCCTCATTTTTCACTCTCCCTTTGCAGTTGCTCCACTTGGTCCTCCAACAGTATTTCAGAACTTGAAATATTGTTATGGTCAGCAAATTATATGGAACAGGGATTGCATGTCCTGTAAATTGCAGACCCATTTAACTGGTATTTCAACACTGGAAATGCCATTTTTGCTGTTGAGTCACTAACTTTGACTTCTATGAATTTCGGAATGTTCTTGCATTATTTAGATTATTTCAACTTTATGGAAAAAAAAAAAGTCCATTATAGTCAAGAAGAAAATAATGTGCTGACTAGGCTTTTACATAACCTGTGATTAGCCTTTTCATAGTAAAAAAAGGTTGTTGGGATTTTCCATTTCCCTTCCATGAGTTACTGAAAAGTTGTTTCTGGTTCTGGACATTTGTTTCCTCTGACAGGATGTCATAGGGACTGGTGCAGGGGATGTTTTTATCAGAAGTGAAAGCAGTGTGCAGCAGTGACAGCACTGTACCCCATGTGATCTTTCCCTTCCAAGCCATTGGTCTCAGTGCTGAGATGCTTCTTATCTTTGCCATGTACATGAAATTATTGACTTAACCTTCTTGGTAGCAGTAACAGCTGTAGGGCTTATTGATAGCAATTGTGTACGGTTTCATTTCCAGTGTGAAGCTTAGATATGAAAAGCGACTGAAATGTGAATGATAAGTGAACAAAATTTTCTATTCAGCTAGAACAATATAGGATGGAAACTTTTTTTTTGCGTACCAACCTTAAGGAAACAAAATGCAAAAATTTTGTTTGAGCAGAAAACACAGGAGAAATTATTGCTGGGAACAAATTCTATAAGGAAGCTAAAATTCATTTAACTTGATTGAAGTTACACAGTTTTTGAAATTATTAAATGGTTAGAATGGATGAATCCAAGAAATTTGTAATAGTTTTCGTGTTGCTTTATTAAGAAGGAAGACTTGGTGGGGCAGGCACAAAACCCAACCCTGATACAGTTGTTATATATTTCTGTTTACCCATATGAAGTTTCTTGTTTTTATCAGTCTACTCTTTGTAGGCAAGTTTTGGATCTCTAGTAAAAAAAAATAAATACTTGCAATATAGGGGAGCATATAGAAAAAAAGATATTCACATTTTGTCTGAATAAGCATCAAGTGAATTGTTGCTAAAGTTACTTCACTAGTTATGGTAGAGAAATAAGGAAATCAGTAAAAGCTTAAGTGGCTTGCTTCGTGGTCACAACTGAAAAATATGTTAATATTAAGAATAATTGTGTTTGGTGTTAGTGGTAACTTTAATACTCTGATATTTATAATTTAAAATGCAGCATGAGCAAGAGGCTACAACTTGCCTGAATCCTTCGCGACATTTGTAATAGCAAAGATTTTCAGGCTGGTTTGTTTATCGGTAGATGGTGCTGTTGCCTTTAGAGGAAAAAAAGTTCCAATGCATTTGACTCTTCCCCTTCTTTCACTGGGGATGAATTCAGTAAAATAGAGGCTGAAGACTTAATTCTTTTTTTCTTACATTAAAAAAGATAAGTAACTGAAGTTGATTATACTCTTGTATAGTTTTCATACTTTTTCTTTTTTTCAAAATTAAGTAGTATGGTCTTAGCGTGGTAATAGCAAAGTTGAAATAGAGTTGTGGTCTATTGACACCACTTTCAAGTTTGAGGTAGGGAAATTTGGATGTGATTTTTATGCCTGATGGTGTGAAATGAATGTAATGCATGTTGCATCTACTAAAATCACAATTACTGAATTGGATTTTATTGTCTTCTGATAAGCATTTGACCAGTCATAAAAAAAATACTTTGAATCTTATCTGTATTAGCCATATTTCAGTTGCATTGTTAGTGCTCTGGGATAAACTGAACTATACTATATTCTTGTTGCTAATAATTTGCAGAAAGAATGTAATCAATTGCTTTTTAGGCTTATGTGCCCTATGTGATCTGGGCTGCCTTGATGGACAGCGAGGTAACTGATGAAGGCAGAAGGATCCAAAAACACACCTGTGAAACTGAAGCATGTTTGTTAAATTACTTGCAATTGATTATGCCCTTTTCTTGTCTTGTCTAGGTGTCCACTGTACACATGGTTTCAATAGAACTGGATTTCTGATCTGTGCCTTTTTGGTAGAGAAGATGGACTGGAGGTAACTTAGAATGTTAATTCCAAGGGATTTGTGGAAGGTGACCAAAGGCATCTTTAGTATGTTTCACTCATTGTCCGGACAGCTGTCGTAATGTGTTCACTGTTATTTAAATAAATAACTGCCTACTAATCTTGAGCAAACAACCTATATTAACATTGTTCATGTTGTTCCTTGGTAGCTTATCCTGTTTCAGTCGAGCTTTATAGGTCTGGTAGGTCAAAAGTCAGCTGTACTTGCTGTGTGTAGGCTTTTAGGAGTGTGTGTATTGAGTCTCCTCCCCGTGACATGTCCTACATTTTGAGTAAGAATGTAGAGTTCAGAGATGCCTGAAAGATTATTTCTCTTACTTTTTTGTCTTTTTCATGTAGGTTTCCACGTAGGCTTTTTACGTTTTTCAAGTTCTGAAGAGAGGTCATGAGCTAGAGCAAGAGCAGTGTGATATACCTGCTGCTGAAGGGTTGAGGGGAGACAAAGTCCTTGTTTCCAGCTTCTTGTTTGACTGAAGTCTACAGCATGCTTCTACACAGACTCACCTGTGGTTTTTGTCATTTAAAAATGTTGGTGCCTTCATAAAGAGTAGTGATCTTCTTAAATAACATGAGTATTAAAAAAAATGGCTTGTACCATGCTGGTGGGCATGACTTCTGCATGTTTGCTAGTATTCGCGAGTCACTGTTTCCTTGCTGATGGGGTACCATGCAAGGCGTGTTTCTTAACAAGCCCCTTAAGCATTTGGATCATGTATCTTGCAGGGTCCTTTAAGTGAAGAAAATTCTACTCCTGTTGCAGCATTTTCTTATGACCGTACATACAGTTATTTGGTGCCTGGCATGTATGTGCAAGCTGTTTGCGAAGAACTAGGTCACTGTTGTCTGTTAGTAAACTTGGAATAAAGACATTGGAGTAATGGAGACAGAACGCCATTAGCAGTGGGTGGCTGAGTCTTGGCAGAACCTTAGCTGAGTATAGGAAGTAGACACAGATACAAATATCTTTATGGTATGATTCTGGTTGTTCCTGTGAACTAGCAAATTTATATGCTTTTAATCTAATAATTTAAAAGCAGCATGCAGTAATTAGACTCAGAATTGGTCCTTTGTTCTGAAGAGGAAATGCACTTGAATCTGTTTGAATCTCCTGCTTTTATGCAGCCTCTCTTTATTTCCAAACCGCTGTGGGAAAAGCCTTAAAACTTAACAGCTGTCTCTCTTTTTCTCTTTTTTTTTTTTTTTTTCTCCTTCATTCAGGTACTTAATAGTACCAAGTTTATTCATTTGTCTCAGTTTTTTTTAACAGAACACCCAGATATATCAGATATATATCACCTAGTAGGGGGAAAATGTCCACAGCAAAAGGATGAATTTCGGCAAGGTGTAGTTAATGCTAAGCATTGTATCAAGATAAATCCGATTTGCTATATCATTCTTTAAAATAAAGCAGTGTTATTTGCTGATGAAGAAATAAGATTTTCCAGATGGAAAAATCCATCCCTGTTCATTCCTTAAACACGTGATATAGGAGTGGTGCTGATGTATTGTGAATACTGAGATGTACTTTTTAGTTAAAGAAAGCTCATCCAGACGGAAAGCACTCCAGTTAGTGATCAGAAACCTTACTTGATTCTCTTTTTCACAACTCATTTTTTGCAAAGACTGCTATGTTTCTAGAGCTTGCAAAATGTGTTTTCTTTCAGCTGGGTGTCTGGACTTGAAATCTGTGCTGCCTCTTTTGGCTTTCATTGCCATCTATTCCCGAATCGTATAGAGTTCTTCTAATATCATCATGGACAAATTTGAGTGTCTTTCAGGCTCCATCCCTTTTGGTTTGTTTTGTCCTTTCAGTGACATTGGTTACAGAAGATGTGAATCAATTTAATAAAGATACCAAAATAAAAAATGTCTTGTAAGGAGGAAATTAGGAGTCTTGGAAAACAGAATGGGGAAGAAAGCTCCTTCTAAATAACTCTGATTCTTAAACTGTCATTTCTGAGATCTGGTGACCGACCATCTGATAGTCTCACTCTGGAAAATGTTTTATTTTCTACTCATAGTAAAGATCAGAAGAGAGAACCAAACTTACTGGTTGTTAGGAAGTGTTTCTGTCTCTTCTGGGAAATCTGCCTTGAAGTTCTCCAGGCTCCTTCCTGTACTGTACAGATGAGACAAAAAAAAATGCATTTTGTATTTAAATCCATTTTTCCATTTTAGCTACATATTTTCCTCGTTCCAGTGGCAGGCTATTTTCTTATCTGAAAAAAAAATTCTTTTCATAGAATTTAATATGTCCTTTCGTTCCAGCTTTAAGATATGTGCTTATTAAGAAGCCTAACAGGGGCTTTTTGTGATTTCTCCTCAATTTAGCAAGATTTCTAAATGTTGATCGATGGAGCATTATTGGTCCACACAGCCAGGATAAACTGAAGACAGAAATAAGTCCATGTTTTCTGTTAAACATTTTTAAAAGATACATGAAAATAGCAACAACAAAACCCTTATGCTGTGCTTGCTGTTGTATATGTTGGAGTGTTTTCCACATAGCTAGTAAAGATGCATGACTGTTAGTTTTGGTTTCTGATTTTTTTGTGATGCGGTCTCCAGTTTATTTAAGCACTTAAGATTAAGTGTTAGCTGCATAGTAAAAGGTTTCTGAATAGTTTTTTTGTGACCAACTTCTGCAAAGAGAAGTAATCTCATAAAATTAGATGCTTTTTCCCAGTGTGATGGAAGAACCTCTAATGTGAGGAAAAATTCTTAGGGGCGGGAAAAATGTAGCCATACTTGAATTTCAATGCTTGCCTTTTTCTTCGTTAAGTTTGTTCGTCTTTTTCTTTGGCCTTTTTTGTCTTCATACCATCATTAAGCACATACCTACGTGTCACTCATTCCTTTTCTGTAGCAATAGTAGAAGTTTTACCTAGGTGACCAGCAAACCACTATTAGCTACAATAAGGACACAAAGCAGTACAAGCTGCAGTTACTTCTGAGAACATACGCAGTGCCTACATAATTATGCACAATCTTGTGCAGGAGCAACTGTTGCCAGGCTGATCTAAGCATGATGTTTCAAATATAATGAATATTTTTGCAATTACCGGTTTGCAATTTGCTTTAATTCTCAGTCCTAATAAATCTTACACTTGGTAAGATATGACTAAAACACGTAAATTAAGCATCCAGAGTAATTTTCAATTTTTATTTGACAGTAATGGGGCTGCTGTGGCTACTTTTGCGCAGGCTAGACCACCGGGTATTTATAAAGGTGACTATTTGAAGGAATTATTTCGTCGTTATGGAGATGAAGATGATGCACCATCACCACCTGAGCTACCAGAGTGGTGCTTTGATGAAGATGAAGAGGAGGATGATGATAATGGTAAAACAGGAGGCCAAGAATCAGAACCTGGATCATCAAGCTCTTCCTTTGGCAAGAGGAGAAAAGAACGTCTAAAACTGGTATTTTTGATTAAGAACTTAATATTCTAATTGCTAAACTTAATATAATAAACTCATAGTCATCAGTTACTACGTAGCACATGCTATACAAGTGTCAGTGTCTTGTAAATGAGGACTGTTAGTGTCATCTCTAACCAGAAAAAACTGGTAGATTCGTTGCAAGCTTTCTTATCTTTCCTGTATGAACCTTGAACTTTAATATTGAACACCTCAACTGTTCCAGTTGTAAGAATGACTTAAAATTTTTCTAATATAACACGTTTTTTTTTTTAAAAAGTTTCAGATGAGATAGTAAAGCACTTTTTAATTATTCACTCTGTCTTTAGAGGTGAAATGTTATGGGGGATGTGTATAACCAGTTTTAACTGATTTTTTGTAGATGTGGGTGAAATCCAGAATTTTTTAAATTCAGTGCTCATTTTGGCAAATATTCTTACTTTTGGAAATTTTGAAGGACTGAGTATTGGATTAGCAAAAAGCAATATGAGCTTAAAACCCCCAAGGCAGCTTTAAAATTATATTTTGTTCAAAGCTGTTTTAATTGCATAATGATAAGAAATATGGTTGATCACTTACTGTGATAGTTTTGACATACATCTGCATAATTCTGATGAAAGAAGTTGCTGTACTTACCATAGTACGAAATTAATAGTCAAGTACAAAGAATATAATTGTATCATCTGAAGACTAATGGCTCAGTTCCCTCCAAATTGCTGCATTTTTTTTTTTATTTTCAGATAAAACAGGAGAGAATGTTGCGTAGTGCAAAAATAGATTCAGATTCTTTTTGCAAAATACTGAATTTTTACTTGTGTGCTGAGGTGTGTTTGTTTGCAAACACTTGGAAATCCTCATATGAAATATGCTGCAAAAATGCGTTTTGTTGTTACTGCAGCTGCTCAACATGGTTTACAGATGGAGTGTGGAAGAAATTAGCATGAAAGGAATACAAAACATAGTCCAAAGAAGCAATATGAACTTTGAAAGCTTTCAAATAGTCAAACAGCTGGAATAAAAAATTGCCCACACTGCAAAAATCCATAGTAAAAATATACTCAGGGATATGGCCACTACCTCTATTAGCCTTGTGGTAAAACATAGATATCAAAAAAAATTTATTTGGGCTGGAACCTCAAAACTGTTTTTTTGACTTGCATTTTGCATTTTGACAAATGAGGTGTGATGGTGGGGTCCAATGACAGCCTCTTTTCAGCAAGTACAAAACTAAACTGGTATGATTAACAGGAATCGTGATACTGGCTTCCCAGGCTGCTTCTTATCTGCCACCGTAGTTTTTTTGAAAGCTGGAAGCTAAATTATACGAATAAGCATATTAATAACTAAAAGTTAATTACGAGTTAGAGAATTTATGAAAGAAAGAATCATCTAGTTAATATGCATATTCGTATAATTCAGTTTTGCAGCTCTGGAGGAACATTCTGACATGAAGAGGAGGAACGGGGAGAATTCTTTACCATGGTTCTTGGCTGGCAGATTGGACTGCTTCTTAACTCAGTAGAGATGGATACAATCTGTTTGTGATTCCTTGTAAATATGCGATCTACAAGGGGAATGATTATCAGGTAAATACCTCTTGCTCAGATTTTCTTATTTGACTGTCGAAAGGGCTAAATTTTCAGCGTTTTGTTGATATCCTGCAGCAGATATTTTCAGCCTTCTAATCTGACTTTTTGTAAACATTTTGGGGTAGACAGTGTCAAACTAGAGGTGGCTGTGGTGATAGTGGCATGTTCTCAAATGTTTTCATTTTGATCCAGGTCTTTGTGGGGACAGAAGAAAAGTTTAGGGACAGAGGAGGATACACCTCTGAGGCCTCTTGCTAGCATAATGAATAGTCAGAAGCAACTGCCCAGCTAGCCCGCAAAGTGAAGTTACGATGCTGTCCATTTCAGAAATTCCATCCTGGACATGAGGAAGCTTACTGCAACATCTTTCACTAGAACTTCAATGTTTTGATGTCAAAAAGCCTGGACAGCCTTTCCGTTCTCTGCTACATAAACTATGGGAACTGTTAGAACATACTACCATTACAGTTTCCTTTGTCGTCACCCAAGTGTAGCTGACAGGTAACAGCAAATCTGTTTGCTGTAGTCTCAGATGCTACGCAGGAAATCCAAACATGTTTTGGCTTTGTCAGTGCATGCCATGGTGATTGTAGCATCAAAGCAACATTATTAACTGACACATAGAATCTTACTTCAGGAAAAAAATACTAATACCGGACTTTGCAAATAGGACAAAAAGTTATAATTCTGAGTTGGAACCTTCAAACTTTTAATGTGTCAGCCAGATCTTTTACTGTTTGTTAAGGAATGCCATTTGTTCTAGTCCCATGTAAGCTGTATATTTCACAGGCGTTACAGGGTGTAATATGTACTGCTTCTAAAATGGATGGTTACGTCTCGGACAGTCTGGAAGAGGTGGTAGATGTTAATGATTTTCTTCATGATTTTGAGTGCAGGTGTCTTGTGATCATCTGCAAGACAGAGGGAAACCATTAAACCTCATGGCTGACACAGTTAGTGAGGCTAATATTTATTATTTAATTGTCAAAGTATGTTGATTCTAAATATTAGTGACTTTGGCTTTTTCTGCCTAACCTACTTTTTTTTGCCAAAGTTTAACCCCTGTACTTACTGTTCTGCCCATGGGTGTCTAGATGGATATGGGAAAAAGTTTATTTTCTGATTTTGCAGTAGCATTTTATGAACTTGAATACAAGTGTCATTTCCTTTTAGCCTTCTCTTTCTCCACATTAAATGCCAATTTATTCACTTTTTCCCTATAGTCCGTATTTGTTATACTTCTATCGATTCTTGTCATTCTTTGTATTCTGTCATGTTGACTCACGTTTTTGAGACTGTTGTGCCTATAATTGAACACAAGCCTCTAGCTGAGGCCATCCTAGTGCTTAATAGGGAGGAATTAATTTCACATGTCTTAAGGCTAATACTTCTGTTTATGTATCTCAATATAATTGCCTTTTCCAAGACAGAATAATACTAATTCAGCTTTTAGTCTCTTGCTGCCTCCGTATTGTTTACTCTAATTATCTACCAGTGCGTGTTTGTGTAATTGCTTATTCTTTATTAAGTGTAGAATTTTGTTTATACTGAATTGCACAGTGTTTTTTCTAGCCCATTCTTACAATTAAGGATAACACTGAATTCTTAAGCTACCAGCGCAGTCTGTATCCCTGTTACTAAATTTGCAGATGTCACAAAAATAAGAATATGCTGACAGGAAATTTAGGGAAGATAAATTAATTCTGTTACACCTAAACCAGACTCCACAGAACCTTCTCAATATATTCTTCCATTTTGTTAGTGAAACACTTAACTCCTCTGAAGCTGGTTTTGAAACAGGTTGCTCCTTGGTTTTGTAGAAGTTAGACCTTCCCCATGTTTTTTGAGTTCCTCTATGAGAACAAGACAAGCCATGACAAAAGCCAGCATCAAAAGATGTGGTATTTCCTGCTTCTCCCAGTTCTGTGAAGCCTATTTGATCACCAAAACCAAATGCTTAGTTGAACACCGTTGTTACTGACAGTCAGTGTGGTTTTGTTGTATCTTTTTTGCTTGTGCGTACCTGGAGGCAGTTTTTGTGGTTTGGTCCTGTATATCTAGGTATTAAACCTAAGCTGATCATTGTAACTCCCTGGCTCTCCCTTCTTCTCTTTTAGATGTGAACTCTCTCTCTTCTGGACATGTGTTTGAATGTGTCTTGTCCTCTGGAAGGCAGTCTCTGAGCTCTTTGGTACTCGGTCAAGTCTGAGTAGCTGAAGATGGCCGTCCCCCAGGCCTGATGATAGCCACTAGGGTCAGGGAGGTCCCGCTCACCCACTCCTCCAGATGTTGTTTAGGATCTGAACCAACAGGAGATGATACGCATTTCCACTTCTCCTTCAGCTGAAGTGATGGGTGGAGGGATACGGTGGCAAGTGGGGAGAGCTTTCTTAATACAGATGGTGTGCAGAGCGTAGATACTAGGTGCACGTAGTTACCTGGGGTCCATTAGGGCTTATAACTCTGGGCTTAGTAGCAGCGCTGAGGACCTGAGGTGCTCCTGCTGAGCTGAGTGATCTGGCATCTCTGCACTGTGTTCTCCAGTATCCTTTTCCACAGGGGGCTTGTTAGCTCAACAGTGGTGCAGACAGTGCGTGGATCTGGCTCAGTTTTAGCACCTTATCCAAGGAAATGTCCTTATGAAACCTGGAGTGCCGAGTTAGCCAAGCACGGATGCCCAAGTGACTCACCTTGTTTTCATAGTGCTGTGCCTTAGCTAGCGAGTATACTTGAGGCGGATCATCTGCAAGAGACACCTTCAAATGGCAGGCACCGATTTCATGTTTATGACTTTTTCTTCTCTGGAAAATCTTTCCTGTTGCCTGCCTCCTGCTTGAATCTTAGCAGTCATACTACTTGTATTCTGAGAAGCAAAGCACAACCAGCTTCCTTTATTTCGTGGTTTTCTGAACCCCTTATCCGGAATTCAGCCAACATACTGGCTTGGCGTGTGTAGCTGCCTGCCTCGCTCGCCCAGTCACCTGTGTGCTGTTGCACCTGCTCGTGCCCACATAAATAATAGGGGGTAAGTGCTGTGCCGAAAGCCTGCCAAGCTCAAGTTAGTTAAGGTTATGAACTAGGATATTTCGTCAGGATGTACTGTTCTCGGAACACGATTTGGTGGTGCAACTGAGCCAATCTTGCCTAAGTGCAGGCTGTACTGAAAACTGCGGTCCTGCTTTCCCTGCGCTCCTTGTGTTGTTCCTCTTCCCTTGTGCTGGCACTAGTGCTGACTCATCCTGTAGTGAACTAGTTTAGGATGCTGATTTGGCAGAATATTACTAATTCATGGTGTTATTTTTGCCAGCTTAGTTCCTAGACTTGCTGAAGAGTAGAACAGATGAGTGGCACGGAGTGGGGAAAGGGAGCAGAAAGGCTCCTTTCATCAGTAGTGTGCAGCTAGATTTGTTAAGGCAAGTTTCAAGTATTTTAGAGAACAGATATGAAAAACTTGTATCTTCATTTGCAGGATTCATAGCTCAACAGGTGAAACTTCGTGCATTGATCTTCTTTGTCTGCACTGAGAATTTATTTCAGATGCTGTTGAAAGAAGTCTGGTCAGTTTGGAATCTCTGTAGAAATCTTTAATTGTGTAGCTTTGTAGACCTCATGGCTTTAATGTGTTCTTTTGTGCAGAATTTGTTTTTATTTCACTCAGCATCAAACGTTTTCTGGAATATAGAAGTTATTTTTATTTTCAGGATTCTTTTATTGATCTCTACTTAGACCTTTCTGTGGCGTTCAGGATAGCAGCTCCATTTCAGTGACCTTGTTTAGATTGAGAATAAAATGATGCAAGTATGTTTTTACACAAATATTTTGTTACAAACCAACTGTTTATGTTTTCTATTTTGTTAAGAAGTTTGTCCTACATCATCTGAGAACCCTGTAAGTTTGCTGCTACAGAA